TGGTTAACACAGGAACACCGGTCCTTCATCTTTCAAACAATTCTCCCTCGTCTTTAAAAGATCTCCATCTTTTCTTATTTCCATAGTCTATGAAATTGCCTTCTTTTCTCTACACCACACCTGGTCCTTTGGGTCAATGAAGCCCACTCTTGCTTTAACCCCAGCTGGACGGCAATGGCCAGCACTTAGATGAATAGCACTGCCCAGTAGAACTGCCAGCAATGGTGGGGCTATTCCATATCTCTACTGTCAGATGCAGTGTCACTGGTCACATGTGGCTACTGAAGTACTTAAAATGAGGCGAGTGCGGCTGAAGAAGTGCATTTTAAACGTCACTTGGTTTTAGCGCATTGAAATTTAATTTTAAAGAGATACTATGACCAGTAGCTACGTAGCTCAGTCTCCCTCTCATCACCCCCGTCTTGCCACCAGCTGCTGCTGCCTTCCCCTCCATCTCCTTTCCACACTGTCCCCAGGCCACTCTCCTCACAAGGCTGCTCCCCTCCCTGGCTTGCTCAGAACAGTGGTCCTATGTGAGTCACTGTGTCCTTCCTGCATTCCTGGGCCTGTTCCTCGTCTGCTCTCTGCTGACCCCGGAGAGTACAAATGAGAAGCACTTCACCTTCTCCCTGCAGGCTTTTCTTACATCCTGGCCATGCAAGCGGTGGTTTGAAGCTGACCCGCGGGTCTACTTAATAGTCATCCTTCCGTCCTCCTCTACTGCCCACTGCAGGGTCTCTCCTCCAGAGCCCAGGCTGGACTGACCCGATCTATGCTCCAGACATTTGCCCTGCCCTGCCAAGGCCTCTAGAAACCACCCGGGCTCCTTAGGACTTTCTTCTGGCAGGGGGTGGGGTGGGGGGAGGAGGACACAGTCCAACAGCAACAGGAAGTGAGAAAAAATGTGTCCCCCTGAAAAAAAGGAACACAAATTTCCCTTTTCCTTTACCACAAGGATATAAAGTGTTATCAGCACATTTAAAAAATATTCTAGAGAACAAAGCAAAAACCCAGCACTTGCCACCAGTGACAGACTGTCCTGAAGGGTGGAAAGACTTCGGGTGAGGCTTGCGCTGCAACCAAGGACAGGCCCGAGCCCCTCACTCCTGAGCCTGAGCTGGCGAACAGCCTGGGGCCCAGCAGCACTGGGAGAGCTGGCTGCTGCTTGACCAGACCAGCCTGACTACGTACAGGCCAGTCCTGAATTCTGTTCAAATGTCCAGTCAGACAACATAGGATAAGGGGACCTGCACTGCAGGCGTGTCCAGGAGTGTCTGCAGCAGGCCGGTGCCCCGCACGGGACTCAGCGAACATGAGCCGTGGTCTGGGAAGATAGATTCCCGGGGCTGGTTTGGGCAAACTTTGTACACGAATGGGAGCTAATTCTTCCAGGGCAATTTTTTATTCATCTTCACAGGCTCATTGCTTGACCAGCATGCCAGGAGGCAGAACTGTTTCTCAGAGATTACTGACTGTGTGAATGAATGAATGAATGAATGAATGACGGCATGGTCAAAGTGACCATAGCCCCTGATGGGGCTAATTCAGGGCATGGTCAAATTCAGGGCATGGCTAATTCAGGGCTAATGAGGGCATGGTCAAAGTGACCATAGCCCCTGATGGGGCTAATTCAGGCAGGTGCAGTGATGGCATCCTGGCTGTAAGCAAGAAATGTACCTACTGAATCACACAGAGAAACTCCAGCACCAAGAACTAGTGGGACAGAAGGTGTGTTTGATAGTAAGGAGAAAGAAACACAATCCCCGGCCTTCAGCAGCTTGTGTGATGCTGTAAAAATGCATTACCTTCCTTCTGTGTGGGTTTATTTATATATAAAGCTGCCTACATATACATAAATACACATACTCATAGGCAGAATATCAGTGGAGTGTTTTCTTCTGCTGTTACTGTATGTGTGTGTTTAATGATCGCAATGCCATTGTGAAAACCAGCTGTGCCTGACTTTCATTCCAGCAGCATTCAGCTTGGGGTTAAACAGCGACTTCGACAAAACTCAGACAGTCAGCTTCTACTGGGGGAATTAGGCTTGATGTTCAGTACAGTAAATGATCCCAAGATAAATACATATACTTTTTAAATCCTGGATGGTGATGTATCCTCTTTCCAACACAGAAACAGGGGAGCCCGGCTGTGTTTAGTTTGTCTGATTGCTTTTAAGAGGGGGGACAGGTTGGCTCTGAAAAACTCTGGTCCTCTATTCATTAAAGTGTCAATAATGCTCAGGCCGGGCATATCGACAGCGGATTAGCCGGGGCTGAGTCTATGTACAAGACCAGTGCCTTTTTTAACCCGGCTTGTCTCCAGATCAATACACCCATCAGCATTCGAAAATTAGCCCGAGATGAGATTCCAATACTTGAGGTGGTGTGTCATGCTAAGAGGGCACCTAGCCAACTCACGGATGGAAACGCTGAGCTGGGGATTAGACATTTTCCATTATCTTGGACATGAGCGAAAATTGATGCAGACCCTCGCCCCCCCCCACCTCCCCACCCCCACACACACCCAGCCTTCTCTCTCTGAGCCTGTATAAGGCCTCTGGGCCATAACTCCAGCCACTGGATTCAATAAGCATTCACTAAAAGTTCACTTCATACAAGGCACTCACCAGGTGCTTAGGGCAGGAGAGTGTGGGCTTAAAAAAATTATAAAAATGTGGTCTTGTTTTTAAGGAGGCTTCAAAATCTTTCAAGGTTCCTTCCATTTACTGATTCTATACAGGCCTGATTCCTGAAGCAAACGTCTGTACTAGCATGTCCTGGTGTCCCCGTCATCACTTGGTGTTCTGCTCTCAGCTGCCGTGTGTGGGGCGGGGCTGGGGGCGGGACCCTGGGGGCTGGTTTCGGAGGCACTGCCCCGTGTAGGTCGGAAATGTTGCTGCTGGAGCATTCAGGGAAGCACCTCACGGAACAGTCATTCTCAAGCCTTTCTGGCCGACTATCCATGATAAAAAAAAACATATTTTCCATTACAAACTTTCAATGACACAAAATTTTATGTAATAATACCTACTTTGCTGTTTTCAATACACTCTGATACCATCTACGCGATTCTATTCCTTTTAAAAAGTGCTGTTTGCAACAGGCAGTTTGAAAAATACTCATTTATACAACCGATAGAAGAAAAAAACCATCATAACGTCCTTTTGGAAATACAGAATAAGAAAAAAAGTAGCCCTGGCCTACATGGCTCAGTGGGTTTGGCATCACCCTGCAAAGGGCAAGGTCGCTGATTCAATTCCTGGCCAGGGCGCATGCTTGGGCTGCGGGTTCCGTCCCCAGTCAGGGTGCGTATGAGAGGCAACCTTGGATGTTTCTCTCTCACACTGATGTTTCTCTCCCTCTTTCCCTCCCTCCCTTCCCCTCTCTGTAAAAATAAATAAATAAAATCTTTCCAAAAAGAAAAAATTAAAACAACTTAGTATGACCAGGCTTTGACACAACATGAGGGGCTCCAGCGTGCCCCCGCCTCCTCCCTGACCAGAGTCAGGGTCCACGCTCTCTCACTGCAGCCGAGGCTTCTTCTCGTGGGTCACAGTCCACACCCATGGTCCCAGCCGCACCCCTGCCCGTCCCCTCACAGCTGGATCTGCCCTCACTCCACCAGCCCATCTGCCCCTGCCTTCTCCAGCCACCTCCCTGCCCTTGTCATTTGAACCAAGACCCCCGACTGCCTCCTTGGACACACTGAGAGGAGGGGCCAGCTGGGGGAGCCTTGGGAAGAGAGGTGTACAGTTAGCAGGAGGAAGGGACCTGCAGAGTGGGCCGGCACGGCGCAGGGCTTGGGCACCTGAGATAAAAACACACAGTATTAAGTCCATTGTGAAAGATATGTTAAAGAGTTAAATAACAACGCTGGCCCTGGGCAGGTGGCTCATTTCACTGGGGTGTTGTCCCATACACCAAATACAGGTTGTGGGTTCGATCCCCAGTGGGGGCCTGTATGGGAGGCAACTGATCAGTGTTTCTTTCTCACATCGGTCTCTCTCTCTCTCTCTCTCTCTCTCGCTCTCGCTCTCGCTCTCATTCTGTGTCTTTCTCAAATAAATAAAAGACATACCCTCCGTATCCTCTGGTAAGAATGTTAAAAAATAGCAACAGTGTTTTTGAAGTAGCTAACACTTGACATCTATATGTGCCAGGCCCTCTCCTAAGTACTGCACACACCAGTCCCTGTCGACCGTAATCCTCACCACGGCTCCTCACAGCACTGACTCCATTGCACAGAAGGAAACCCTGAGGCTCCGCCAGGCACTTGATCAAAGGCTCCGGCCAAAAAGCAGTCATCTGGGGTTCTGACGCGGGATCTGCCCGCGTGATTGCCCCGGGACCAGCTCTGCTTCATGGGGAAGGTAAGCGCCATTCCCAGGGTCTGGGACACATGGGGAGAGCACAGCCAAGAGAGATGCAAAAAGAGAACAAATATACAGTTCTGAAAAGCTGGGGCTGAGGGGCGCAACCGAACCACAGAGAATCAGACACAGGCAGCGGGGGTGTGGTGGGGTGGAGGAGGCCCAGGGCTGGGAGGTGAGAGGGGTGGAGGAGGCAGGCAGCGGTGCAGGTGGTGTGCAGGATGCGTCCCAGCAGGTGCTCGGAGCATCTGTGTGGGGCTGTGCTTTCTCTGCAGGCCCTGGGAGGGGGTGCAGGTGTACCGTGCCAGACCTACAGTGCTGGTCTTAAAATAAAGTGAGCTTAGAATTGGAACCTGGAAGAAAATTAGAGGAGAAAAAAGCCAAGCAAAGCAATAATTAGAAGATAATTTTCTGAGAAAATATATTACTGGAACAAAAGCAAAAAAAAAGTCTTAGTCCTATTCAATGGGAAAATTATTTGAAAATTTGGCATCTGATGGCAAAATGACAATTAGCAAGTTGTCCTGGCTGATGGAACAAACAGAACCCGTTCCTGTTGAGGATCACAGAGAGTTTACTGCAGGCTTTCTCAGCCGCCACCCGGACCGCCCTGCCCGGCACCACCTACCTTGCACGATGAGGTGGACCCGCGAGGTCTTGGGGTGGTTGTCCGTCTGCACAGAGCAGGTATACGGGCCCTCGTCATACACATCCACGTTTTGGATCTCGATGCTGTACTGGGTTTGGGTGTAGCTCAGGAGAACCACTCGTGGGTCCAGGCACCACTTGTCATTCCCAGCGTAGAGGATGGTGCTGCGGTTCAGCCAGGCCACCCGGGTGACCCGGTTGTCGATCGTGCACCTGGAGGGAAGGCCAGATGGGCAAGTCAGGACAGTGGGAGCCATCGGAGGGGGGGGTCCCTGGCAAGGCAGAAGGAGTTTTTATGCCTTGTCTTCAACCCCTGCCCCCAGTATACATACAGAAATGTCCTCTATTTGCTTTGTCATGGATGGCACTGGCTGGAATTTGGTGGCAGAAGTCTTATGGGATGACAGCCTTAGCACATTGGATATCCCAGACTCTGGGTCTTGCCCTGAAACCACCTGAGCACGGCTCCCTGCAATGGTCCTAAACACCTGTAGTCACAACCCCGAGGCATCTTCCACACCCAGCACTTTTGGGCCCTTCCACACAACCAGCCCCTCTTTGCTCAAGAACGTCTCTCATGTGGGAGATGCTAATCCCTTAGATTGCTTTCTAGGTGTTTTAGATGTACAAAGTTGTTCAGTACTTACAACAACCCAAGAGGGAGGTTCCACTGATAAAACCAATTAAAGAACAGAGAAACTAAATATTTCCCCAAGTCACACAGATAATATGTGCTAGATCAGAGACCCAAATTTCAGCTACTAAACATTTTTTTCTTATCTCAGAATAGCAAATTCTGACAGAAGGCTTCTGAAGTCAAAACTAAATACGAGCCACTGCCATTGCTACTGATCTTCATTATATTCAAGGGCAGAAATGTTCGATTATTGAGAGACTAGACACATTTTCCAAAATCTCAAAAGCGGTTGCACATGTAAAAATAGATGTTCTTTCTTTTACTTTTGCATCTGGAGTTCCTAAAATGTTGAAGCTCCTTTCTCTTTTCCTACACTTTCAAATTTCCCAGCTCCTCTCGCCAAGCCCTCATCACATCTATCCGTCTGTATTCATTTCCTGCTCTCGGCGCACCGAGTATGTTCCGCAGCTTCAGGCTGGATTCGCAAATGCCGTGCCCTGATCTCAGCTCTGATGCTGGAAATAGCAGTGCAGCGCGGTATGTACAGTTGTGCCTCCAATTTATATATTCTTTCACACTGTAGAAAAGTATTTTACCATGCGCACCGTCTCATTTGATTCTTGCAATAAAGCTGTGACATCAATGACCGTCTCCCCTTTACAGATCAGGACTCTGGGGTCTGGGATTGTCCGGCGGCCTGCCCCCAGTTAAAGAGCTTAGAAGTGAGGTCAGACGCCTAACTCCTGGCCTCGTGTGCTCCTTGGGGTGCAAAGGGGTATTTTTCAGTGGGGAGGGACGATGGCTTCCACAGAATTCTCAAAATGTCTGTGACCATGGAAAGCCTGGGAGCTGCTGCTGAGCACACCAGCTTCCCTAGGTGGTCCCTCTCAAGAGGAGATATCCTGTACCCTGCCTCCTTTCCGCACGCACTTGTGTAAATGTCACCCGATCGCCGCGGGGACCCCTGGGCGCAGGTGAGGAGCCTTGCTGAGAGCTCCTGTGGAGAAAACTGCTCGACCAGAAAGGTCTCGGCTCAGGTGTCCAGCAGGGTCTCTGCTGCTCGCTGTTTTCAGAACAACACAGCATGCAGGTGCTAGAAAACCTACCCAGGAAACAATCAGGGGAGTATGTCTGTAAGTGGGCGTGGGCTGTTTGCATCAGAAGCAAATGAGGGGTTTGTTACAGTTTCTCTTTTCCTACTGACTCAGAATCTTTGGGAACCCCCAAAATATGAAACTCCTAATAATACCCCAGTTAGGTCATGTACACACCAGAGCATGGAAAACACCGGTGCAGAGTGACGGGTCCCCATACCAGCTGCCTAATTTGTGGGACTTGGTGCAAAATGAAAAGGCAGAGCCCTTGGGTCAAGAACTATTAAGGATTAAAGATGAGGATGGCGGAGCATTTAACCAGGGGTGGGGTCCTACTGAATGCAGGACACCATTCGAGTGGATCTCAGACTTCATCGTGCTTATGTATCTACTTAAGAAATTAGTAAAATGCGCATTCTGATTTGGTAGGTCTGGGGAGGGGCCTGAGAGTCTGCATTTTCAGTTATCTCCCGGGGATGTGCGTGCTGATGGCCCCTGGACCATTCCTGTAGTAGCTAGCATAAAGCAAGAGGGGAATAGTGCACACATTAAGGTTTGAGAAGCACTGAGTAAGGACCTCACTCTATAAAAGTGTAGTCAGAAAACCATCAGATCAGCATCAATGGGACGCTCGTTAGACATGCAGAATTTCAGGCTTCACTGCAGAAGTAATGAGCTGGAACGGCATTTTAATAAGATGCCTAGGTAACCAGATGTACATGAAGTGTGGGCTGGTCTGCGGTGTACTCCGAGCCTTCCTCTTGGCTGTGCTGGCCATACTCAGCACATACTCAGAGAGCGTGCAGAGGCAGAGAAGCAGAGCCAAGGTGACAGGGGCAGGGAAGATGTACCTCCCCTGCAGGTGTGGGAAGATGCGGCGTATCAGGTGCTTCTCCTGTCACCTTGGCTCTGCTTCTCTCCTCTCGGCTGTCACGCCTAAAATGTGGGTTTGGAACCACAGTGGCTTCAAATCCCTTAAGTACAACATACTCCACCACTTGCTTTGCTAGTAATGGACCTGGGATGTTATTTGTATTAATGACCTTAAAGGTGGTTCCTGCCCTAAATTCTACTTGGATTCAACCAGAGAAGTTGGTGAAACTCATATTCATGGCTAATGTTTATTGAATGCACTTTACTATGTACTATTACTATATCAAGCACACCTATCACATACACTATTTTATGATCTCAAAAAATTAATTGAGTTCACTTATCATTGCCAGTTTAGAAATGGGCTTCCCTGAGACTAGGAAATAACCAAATTGATTAAGATCACACCAATATTAAGCCACAGAACCAGGATTCAGAAGCAGAGGTGTTATTCTTTTTCCCTTGGATTCAGTGGTCTTTGGTGTCCTTATCAGATCTCCCACAGGCTCCATAACATTTAAATGCACATTCATCGGAATGGCCCGCATGCTCGGTGAACACAGGTGACTGACCCTGACCTGTACTGGTGACCGCACCTTAAAAACCATTAATTTAGAAATCTGGTTTCTGGTAAAAGGAGAGCAGCAGAGAGAATGGGCATGAAGAAATGACTCTTGTTTGAAACAGTTTTCCATTACTTTACAGGACAGAAGTTTTTTATGACCACTTTGTTGTAGGAGGCAGAGCCCCAGTTATTTTTCCCTCCAACTGCTGAAACTTTGCCCAGATACCAGGTGAATGGCCACGAGGCAGGAAATGTTGCTCACCAACCTCTATAAACTGCCTGAGTCATTGTTTCTGATGTCCACAGTGGGGACATCGCACAGCCTCCCGCTGAACACAGGACTGTCCTGGGCTTCCTTGTGTCTAATTACTGGGAATTGACTGGTATGGAAACAGCATTACCAAGGCCAAAGACATTCATTTGCAAATACACGAATGCTCCAAAGGCAGCCGACTTTCAGCACAGTTGGGCGGCTCCTGTGATATACTACACTGAAACGTTGGCATAGCTTCAGCTGTGGTTTGGGCACATCCAAGGTCATGTGTAGACGTCCACACTGTCACTGCCAGAGATCAGTCTTGCTGAGTCTCCACGGCATTAACGCTGGCTTCTGTAGAGATGGATCACCAAGGGAACTTGGCCGCCAGCTCCTGTCGCCTCCTCATACCTGCCCCCATCTATCCATATCATTTATCGAGTTTCAACAACAATGCAGAGGAGACAATTCTCCCAGGCTTAAAAAAAAGGGGGGGGGGCAGAATGAGCATAATTGCTGTCTCAGCCAGGGCTAACGCTGTGGTTGGTTGGGGTAGAAGACCGGGGTGGGGGTTCAGTCAACAGGATCCCTTTCACGCAGACACTGCCCTGAACCCAGTCCTACCAAAGCACTCCTGCATCGCACCATGGGGCTGCATCTCCCGCAGGAAGGTGATTCACGGGGAGCAAGGAAAGCTGAGAACTCAGCTCTCCCTGACTACCCCAGGGCAGTGTGGTGGGAGCTGCCGCCTCTTGTCAGGAAACTGGTCCCAGCTCAGTGTGAGGCTGGCAGGAAGGGAAATGGAGAGAGAGAATGGGTTGCAAGGGCCCTGCCCAGACCTTGAAAATCTTTCACCTTTTCCCCCACAATCCTGAGACATAAGAAGCTCCCACCCTGAGCTTCCTCTCTGCCCATCCTGCTGCATAGGCAAAACAAACAAACAAACAAACAAACAAATAAATAAAATAAAGCCAAGATAAAAAAACAAAAAACAGAGAAACAACCACTGCACACTCAGGGCTCTGGATTTAGGTCTGGAACTCCCAACTCCCCAGATGCTAAACACCCCTCACCTGGGAAGCTTCCCTGCTCCAGCCTCAGTGCCACCCTCAGTCACTTCGTGCTCCACCTCCAGGAGATGGCCCCCAGCCTTCTGTGTTTCCGCAAGGGTTGCCTCTCACGCCTCCTGGGTGAGCCCCCAGGGACAGCCCAGGACCCAGCCTCTGCAAATCCTGGCAAATCCACACAGACACTCAGAGCCTGGGAGGGATTCTCTTTACTATCCTACTGCTGAGCCACAAGGCCCTTCTCAGTCTGTGTGTCTGTCTGTACTCTGTTCCTGTTCTTGGACAAGTTTCTTCTTAAAGAAAATAGGCCTGCTATATTTAAACAGATTATCAAAGATATCCAGCCTGCATGGATCATCAGTCCATGAACTTTCTTTGATGACTGAAAACCTCTGTAACTGACCAGGGAGGACCAGCCACATGTGCCGGCACCGGACCCTGCACCTGAGTACGGCACAGGGTAGAGAGGGCTGCCACACCTGCAACTGTCTGCAGCTGCACTGACTGTGCCAGCGCCAAAAATGCAGCCCTCTCTGTGCTCGATCTCTGGCTGAGGAATAGTGGCTTTACCACACTCACTGTATTTTCACAGGGAGGGAGAGCAAACAATGTGTACGCAAGCCCAGGATGAGTGCTGCAGAGATAAAACCAGGAGAACGGGGGCACAGGACCTCGAGTTATTTGGGGTTTGGGAGGAGATGAAAGTGAGATGGAGAGAGAG